CATAGAGGGACATATTCAGCCGTCTCATCCGTCAGCAGAGGAGCACGCACAAGATCATCGACCAGCTCAACTTTCCACAGTTTAAGACGGAGATGCTGCAGTTTTGCCAGAAGATCTGTCGCTTTACCGTCCCGTACCTTCACAAGGTGGACTCACAGAATTATACTAAAAAAATGTTTGTGTTTTGTTTTGCTTATAATTACATAAGTATTACCATATTAAGAAATTCTATCATTTAAAGCACAATAAACAACTTTTATTCCTTTGACATCGCAAAGTATTTATAGATGGATCATACATGCCTACACACACACACACACACACAGACACAGTGGGGCCAAAAGGTATTTAGTCAGCCACTGATTGTGAAGTTCTCCTACTTAAAATAATAAGAAAGGTCTGTCATTTTCATAATTGGTACACTTCAACTATGAGAGTCGAAATGAGAGGAAGTAATCCAGGAAATCACATTGTAGGATTTTAAAATAATTTATTCTCTCAGTAAATAACACATTCCTAAATTAAAGTTTACAATCATTTAGAGTAAATAAGACACCTTCATAATCCCAAATGTTCCGAAGAGATATTTAGTTAATCCACTTTTGAACAATGTTTATATTCAAACATCACTCTTGCTCTAACCATGCTCTTTTTGGACTGGGAGGAAGCCGGAGTACCCGGAGAGAACCCACGCATGCTCAGGGAAAACNGCAAAATAGGTTTAGCGCCACCGCAACACGGGAGGGAGAATTACGCCCAGGAGCAAATGTATGAAAATAGACCCGAGGGGAAAAAAACATGAATCGATACTCTTGCGGACGTATCGATGCATCGGATTGTCGGCTTTTGGATTGTGCATCGATACAAAACGATTATTATTAACACCCCTAGTCTCAGTGGTGGTCAGCTGCAGAGATGGTTCTTGATCGCCTCCCTAACTAATGCTCTTCTCCCCCAAGTGCTTTAGCTGTCTCTAGGAAGAGTCCTGGTGGTTCCAAACTTTTCATTTACAAATGATTTAGGCCACTATGCTCATTGGAACCTGTAAAGCAGCAGAAATCTTTGTTTTTCCAGATTTGTGCCTTTAAGAAACACTAGTCTCAGAGGTCTGTAGACAGTGCCTTTGACTCCATGCCTGATGTTTGTTCTCTGAGGTGCATGGTCAGCCAAGGGACCATGGCTCTAGGCAAGAGGAAACTTTTTGTCATTCGGAAAGGGAAGAAATCAATCTCCTAAAATTTGGAATAAGGCTATAGCAAATTGTGGAAATAATGCAGCGCTGTGAATACTTTCTGGATGCACTGTTTTTTGTTGATTCAAAAATATTTCTTCTCCTTTATAACATGAAAAAGATGAGTGTGTGTTAAAACCAAAAACTATTCTGATCTAACAAATAATGTATTGCTGTCTTTAGATCGTGGGGATATACATAAAGAATGAATTATTTAATAAAGCACAAGAGGCACTCGCTCTGTACCTTCCCAAACCAGGGAATCAAAAGGTAAGTCCTCCTGATCAGTGTTGAACCTGCTTCTCTTCTGCAGTTATGTTTTTTATCCAGTTTGGTTAATAAGCAAACTAATTTGGCAAATTATTGTTTGTTATGGTGTTGTTGTAGTCTACAGAGGAAGTTTGATCCAAACACATCTGAATCTACAACCTTGTAAATAAAGCATTTTGTTCAATGTAAGCAAATAATCACCTACACTAGTAGGTAGATTTGTAAGTAAAGTAGACACTGTTGTTCAGATACAGTCAACCTTATCATGAACTTGAGCTGCACAATCATGGAAAATTAAGTTTCTATATATTGTTAATAGATTTTCATCGTTTCTGTTTTTCCCATCTCTTCCCATTTATCTCCACCAAGGTTATGTTTTTAGGGTAGTTTGTGTTTGTTTGTCTGTGTACAGGGTAACTTGAAAAGTTATGGAGAGATTTT